CTCCCATTTCACTGCGCGTTTGCTTAAAACCCACAAGAAAGAGGTGAGAGAACTGGCATTCTGGCGCAAACGCCGACTGTTTGCCAAACAATATAGCTTCGAAGTGGTGACGTGACGTCACATGTTTTTATCTTTGCTACACCCGTACCGCTGTACCGCAGCACCGCTGCACGGTTGCTTGGGGATTGTGGAAACTGTCAACAACATCGGAGAATTTGAACAACACTGGAGAAATTAGCGTTTGGATGCGCATTGTGAGCCTTTAAATACGTTATATTTATTGAGAATAGAGATTATCGTGAGTTAGAATATTAGCAATTTAAACGTGCTTCTTTTTTTATTTACAAAGTACAGTATACAATAATCAATAAAATAAAAAATTTTGGGGGCATATTACTATTACTATATATCGAGATATACTACATTAGCAATTGTTACGTTTTATGTGGAAAGTACGAACTATGTTAGTTTATACAGCATAGAATTAGTTATTAACATGCGTATATTCTCTAATAAACAAGCAAACTAAACGCTGATGTTCCTAAGCTGTACTAGCATGAAATGTTAGATTCTTGTTCTTAAGCTGCCGACCTAGCCACAGGCTCTTGTGGATAGACGCATGCATACCAACGCGCAAATACTATCTGCATGTAATTTAATTATAAAATATAAATTTAATGTTATGATTATTATGTTTATTGCTTCCGCGGACATGGCGTGTACATGTATTAGTTGAGCGCGCGTCTGGTGAACATTTTTACCCACGAAGGCATGCTCGGCTACATGCTGCTTATGTCTTCAGCCAGGCTTCAGTCGTCAACATGTGGCGTTCTACATTAGCTCTCCACCATAAACCCAGGTCTGCTTATACTCACAGCCGACATGCATCTTTCGGTCGTTAATAAACGTCTACGATATCATCCAATTACTGTGTACACTTTGAGTAACATTAATTTTGTGAGTATAAGATATGCTATGATATATGCTATGATGAGATATCAGTGATGTACGATATAGCCACATACCGATATACGTACATAGATATAGCCTCCAAAGCACGCATAGGTGTTACCGTTATCATCGCGTCAAACACGAAAGTCCGCGCCTCTCGCACAAGATAAACACCATTTCAATACTTCGCTGGGCACAAACCTACTGTATTTACCATAATAATATATAATATATCTGCGATATTAACACGCGCTGTATTGCAGACTCTTGTGAAAAGTAAATGCAAACATCGAGGAATGAAGCTGGCGCACTTACTGTATGTAAACACGGGGCTATTAATACCGCATCGCAGAGAGCCCGCTAGAGCCGAGAGAGTACAGCATTTCATATCGGAACGCTAACCGCCAACAACGCAACAAAAATATAATTACCGAAGATCGCGATTTTTTGATTGTCGAAATACTTTTTATCTCGATTTCACCTCATTAGTTACAGTAACATAATTAATATTAATAACAGAATATGACGGCCGTGTTTGCAAATTAGAGAGTATAGTCGATCTTTATCATTTCATATCTGTTCAATATTATATTTATATTTATCATTATCATTTTCATTCACGCGCGAAATAATTACGGTTGCTGTCAAGCCTTGCAAACGTTTGTTATCGAGATCCTTGAAATAAAAGCTGCAATGAGGACGGTCATGATATTACTGTCTCTAGATGTCCAAGCATGTCAATATCACTACACGTAAGCTACGCGCTATACGTTCTAGTTGTCTAGTGCGTCTGAATGTTACCTGATGAAGGTAAGAGCAACGCAGGCAAATGCGAGCAATCCAACAACAGTTCTACTGTTTTCATCGTGAAATTTTAATCAGTATGAAGTCGTTCGGTTTGCCTCTGCAGTAGCGCGCATATATAACCAAGCGCATGTGGACGGCCGATATGCGTAATGACAGATTTCGTACACGTGATGACGCGATTCCTGATTCACTGTCACTGTAATTTGACACGCGGCCACTACGAATTCACGTAACTACACAGTTACACTACACGTTGCAATGAAGGTGACAGATATATAGGTGAGATATCCGCCACGCGCGCGCATCACGAAACTGGAAAAAATCAATCAATCGTAACTATATCGATAACCGACGACGAGATCGATCTACTTGTTGGTGATGCGAGGTTGACCGACGAATTCGATCGGTATCGCCTGCGGTTGGGCGCGGTCCTGTCGTGTGTAGGGCACCTCCACTGCCAGGCTTCCGTCCTGTCCAAGCTGAGAGCTCATCTCGTCCAGCTTCAGGTGTGGTGGCAGCGTGAACTGACGATGGAACTCGCGGTAGACGTGCCCCTGGTCTCCGGTCTCCTCGTGCTTGGCGTCGACTTTCAGGGTATCGGCATCCAGGGTAACCTTGATCTCGTCCGGTCGGTAGTTTCGCACGTCGAAGTGAATCTGAAGCTTCTTTTTCCCGTTCTTCTCGACGACGTCCTGTGTCATCATGCCGTCGCGCGGACCAGGGTGACTGAACGCCGCCAGAGGAAGGAAGTCGGTGGGTTCTCCTCTCCTCCACGGCTCGATCGCGCGCAGAGGTTCTCCGCCTCGCCACGGCTCGACGGCTTTCTCGCTCCACCAGCGGCGGCGGGTTTCTTCCTCTCTCTCCCAGCGCTCTCGCATCTCGCGACGGAAGCGTTCTACCTCTCGGTCGAAGTCTTCCATGAAGGGCGACGGCGACGGCGACGACGACGACCACCCGCGCCACGGTGCGAGTCTACTGCGCGATGCAGGATCTTCCCACGGTGCCATCGACATATCTCTGTGCGTGTATGTCTGTGTGTGTGTGTGTGTGGTGTGTGTATGTCTCTGTGTGTGTGCGCGTGTGTATGTGTGTATTCGCCGCTAGCACAGCTGTGTGGAGATGCTTGCTGACTGCACGCTGCTGCTCTGCTGCCCAGCTTCTGGCATCTGAGGGCTTCAGCTGCTCGGAAGCCAGGCCTGCGCGCGTGTGTGTGTCGTGTGCGGGAAACCGAAATAGAACCGAAGGACGTTGGCGTGGGCGATGCATCGCTGCACACAGGTTTCCGGGAGCTCGGGTTGGCTGTTAGTTAGGTTGTGTGATACGTCGTAGCAGCAGCAAGGTTGCTGTAGTGGACATTATTATTTAATAAATAATAAAATAACATTATTAAACTAAGACTTTTCAGCTATGGTGCGGTATATCTAACACTTTAGTGGACAGTATATATATATATATATATATATATATATATATATACTAACCAGTGTTAATAGTGAAGAGTGGTAGCGAAATAGAGATAGGTAATAATACATTTAGAGTAGGCCCCTAAACGGATTGAGGGGTTAAAAATTCGAGACGAGGGTGCGATCATATATCTGGTAGTAGGGAGGGTTATTATTCAGTCAAACTTTTTCGGATTATCGCTCTCTAATTTTCGGGGGTGTGTCTTATTCATCGGATCGAGTTACACGTCGCTAAATATTGTAAATATTTTGCTTTAGCGTAATACACAACTTCTCGGGCGGGACACTAGCGCCGCCTCACGGCAAAGAAAACAGAACTTTCTTATGTAATAACATAATACACTCAATTTGTGTATGTACATAAACTCACTCGTCGTTGCTGGGAACTGTGATTTTGAGAAAATAAATATGAATAATTTCTATCATCTTTATATAAATCATTTTATCAGTACGTAAATACTTTTAGCAGATATTAGGGATACGTCCTGACTCGCCTGGCATACTGTTATGTTACGATTTGAGAAACTTTAGAAGATTCTTCTCTATATAATGAATAAACCGAGACATTGGTGGGTCGAAATTTTTTAAGTCAAACTACTCCTGAGGATAAGCTCCTAAGAGGTGTATCATTTCAATTAATTATAATATATTTCATTTGGAATCATACATCAATTCACTCGTGCGACATGAGCGCCGACTAACGGCAGAGGGAAATGTACCTAATTTCACAATGCGCTGCGGAGAATCGGGATGTTGTGATGATTAGGCTTCGTCTTATTACTCAATGCAGGACCTGGGATACAGATTATTCACAGTAAACAAACCTTGAAATTGTCACCCATTCTTAAATAGTTAATTTTAACAGAGGCGTGATTTATTGTAGCAGATAATAGGCTAGTCCGAGCCGACGCAGACCCCAGTAATGGGATAAATGGGATAAACCCGCACCCTCAGATTAGCAAAGCGGAGTTTACGTCTGCATTTGCAGACTAATAATAGGCATGCACGCAGATGCGTACTAAGTCGTAGATCACGTGGATCTCCTAAATAAATAAACGAAAAAATGAAAAAAGGAGGTTTTCACTGTGCCAGCCGGTATTATAGTAGCTCTCATGCATCTGTGACTGATATTTTATTTGCATCTATGTTATCTACACATGTCTTGCGCAATGTCGCGCGGCGCGGGGCCGTCATAGCAGCGATCTTGTTTAGTTCTCCCGGTAGATGGCGCTATAACGTGAAAAATTGTCTGAATAGCGAAAATTATTGTATGGGAAGGCTGAGGTAAAACGATGAGATACAAACTCACAGTTCACACTAAAACAGTTAAATATATTATATGATGTGTAGGTTGTAATATATACTTGATACAATTAGTTAGTCAGTTAGTTAAAGTTTAGAAATTAAACAATACAATCTTGAAATATGAATAGCAAAGAAAATCACATAAACCGTTTATTACAACAATAATTACAATAGACACTAAGCGAGAAATAAATGAAAAGAATAGACGATGATATATTATTTTGAATAAACAATATTCATATAAAAACATGTATTCACATATCTTAAATGTAATCCTATTTTCAAATATATTTATGTTGAATGCATTGCGTTAGGTATCATTTGTCTTAATTACTTGAGAAACTTCATGTAATTTGACAAACTCAATGTTGCTTGCTCGAGCAACGAAGTCTAGCGAAGTCCAGCGAAACGAAGCGAACATGGCCCCCGCTCTGTATTTCGCTTGCTCGACCAACGAAGTCCAGCGAAACGAAGCAAACATACCCCAGTCCCAATGTTGCTTGCTCGAGCAACGAAGTCCAGCGAAAGTAATTAAACTTGCGTGTTAATTATGTGTAGTTTCTGCGTGTTTTGTTCATTATTTCTCAGTATATACCATATTGTCGATTTTCGGTTACTGTCAGAACGGTGTAAGAAATGTCCATAATGACATATATCATTAACAAAAACAAATGACAAGCAATATAGGAGTGTAGTGAAGGAAAATCTCAAAATCACGCAACAGAAAATATTATTGATACTCTCTGGGTACATAAGTTCTATAGCCGTCTACACGTACAGGGGCGTAGCCAGCCTTTTCAAGAGGGGGGTTTCTTCCAAGAGGGGAGGTTCCTTCCAAGAAGGGGGGTTCCTTCCAAGAGCAATTTTTATTGTTTCTCTATATCAATAAAGCCGTTGCTGATGAAACTTACTCCAATGCCTCAAGAACGCAATACATTTCGCAATACGCATTACTAAGTACACCTGTTCCTGAAAGCGCATGTCAAGTAAATAAATAATAGCAAAGTCTATATAAGCTATTCATATCTTTTGGCGCACCCGGCAGTTAGATGCGATATGATATGACTACTAGGCACTTAGGATATGACTACTAGGCACTTAAAAAAACCCTAACCCTAACCCTAACCCTAACCCTAACGCTAACCCTAACCCTAACCCTAACCCTAAAAAAATTAATTAAAGTGCCTAGTAGTCATATCATATCGCATCTTTCTGCTGTTTGCTCTTTTGGCTTTGACGACGCCATTATCCGAGCGTATGCCTCGGCTGCTGCGACGCTGAAAGCTGCGGTCATTTACTATCGACCATTGATGTCTGAAGTAAACATTATTGTCACGTGGTCAGTCAAGAGAAGGGCCAACACATGTTGCGTGTATGTATGCTGCTTGCATGGATGCCCTGCTCTCGCATCGCCGCGCTCGCGCTGGAAATAGCTTGACGGTCCCTGGAAACTGAATAGTGGATCGTATTTTTGCACCGCATTCCTTCCTCATTGACGTCGGCAGATGGCAGACGTTACGCTAAAATTATTGTGGTATAAAGTGCGAGAGGGATATGACAACATGGCTGCCGCCGTATCGGGTGCGAGAGCGTCGGGCTCCGGAGATGGCTTTTTATCCTTCGCCTCTATTGATATGCTGGACATATTGCTCGTGATATGGATAGCTATAGTTGGGATTATTGTTGCTTTCGGTCATCTTTTGCCAAATATAATCAGAAAGCGGGATGAAGAGGTAGGTTTGAGTATCCCCGTACCGGCAGCATGGGCCATCCCCGCACCAACCGCGGGTGAGCAGAGAAAGAGTACAACCTGGTTGGAAGCTGGAAGCTTGAGGGAGACCTGCGAATGGGCTAATGCGGCGGCTCACTGGTTCTATCAGAACTACCAGCAAACTCCGGAACTTGTTCATGCCTGGCTGAAGAGTTTGAATGACCACGCGCGGGAAGACCTCCTGGTAAGTTTGATTCATATTTCGTAATACGATCGCAGCTTCATTTTTTGAAAAGAATCATATCCAGTTCCATGCAGTACATCTGATAACTTCTGATTCTTATATCCATACCTTGGTACATACGTAAATGTTAATCTCATTCGTCTGACTTCGTTTATGATGCAGTTATAGTCCAGGGCCAGATTTTGGAGCTAAATTAAAAAAATAAATTGTTCTACTAAAAAAGAATTGTCGTAGTCAGAATGAAGGCTGTACATGTACTCAAAAGTGCCTCAAAGACCATCTTCTGCGATCTACATTTTCCAACTTTTCGGGGGGAGAACCGTGGATCCGGCACTGCCCCCCCCCCCACTTGCTTAGCCTACGGCCCTGTAATCGCGGGTTTCGTCGTTATTTTATATCTGACTAAATCTATGACTGTACGCAAGTGCTGACATATAAATTTACAACACCCGTGCTATATGTGTGCACTAGCTGTGTTAGTCACTGATCTTAATATAGTTAGCATTTTACGATCAGTGGTGTAAGAAGGTCGTACGTAACGTAAGTCTTAATTACGCCTCAAACATATCTGACATTTGCGTCTAATTGTAGCTAGGCTGAATTTCATCACCTAGCTGTACTAATTAACACTTTAGTCATGTAAAGAAATCCATGAAACCTTTGCAAATCTTCTTTATCAAGCTGTTGTGCTGCATATGCATATTATACTGTAGTCTACAACCACTATATTAAGACTTTCATTTGCCTATTGAACGGAACGCTACCAAATGCGCGGTCTGTGTGCAGGTGACAAATCCACGCATTGCATTTAAACCTGGTCATGTGTTCGTAAAACATTATTCAAATTATTGTAGGTCGGTTCGATAAATAATGCAGACGGATCTCATGCTCATTGATCTTCCAATGGCTGCAGTATCAGATGTCAGCGAATGACTGACTGACTATATTGGTGCATAAAAGTAGTGCTCAGCGCTAAGGCAGCTGCACTTACTGATGTACGGTTCTTGAAGATCGTGATAAATGCGCTCGCAGACAACTAGAATTAGAATTCATTGCTACATGTGCACAGCGAGTTATAATAGTATGTCACATAGGTTTTATATGGAAACTCGCACACAGGTTTCCTTATCAGCTAATATGTAAAAATCTACTCCAAAACGTGCGCGTACACCAATATCAAATGCTGTGCATTAAAATTCAACTTGCTAGCGAATGCTTACTATACTTATCGTTGTGTCAATATGTATACGCGCTCGATGCATATTTCAGATTACGAACTCATCGTGAATACATCAAGCAAATGTTATTAATTAGAATTAGAATTAAAATAAACATCAAACTGAATTTGCATAGATGAATCGCAGGAGCGACGGCGTGTATTCGACACTAGCGAGAGCGCTTATTCAAACAACGTCTAATTACTCATGCATCAATAGAACTCATTATAACACAATGCTTTATCCCCGTAGTTTCGACAACTAACAAGGTTTGCGCTGCAGCAGCTGTGCAACTTTTGCAGTGCGGCTCTTGTTCGCACGTTCAGTTTCGCGAGTACTCGATAGCTATAGCAGGTTTTGATTTTCTAATGTTTTTGCCGAGAAAATTTTCAATCAATGTTCGTTGATAAAGTGCCGATTATTTTCCTCAGCTAATAACATGCGCAGGAACATATTAGCAAGAGTGAATAATAGAATGATCTAATAATAATTTTAATAATAATAATTTATTATAATTCACTCCTGATATTAGTTGGTGTCTGCGCATGTACATATATGTGTATGTCCACGTTTGCTTTTATTAAGAACAAAGTGCCTCGCAACGGAACAGTCGTGGATGCATCACATTAATTGTTCAACGTACGCGCATTCAGGAAAGCACATATAATATATATAATTAGTTATGAATAGCCCAAATTGGTTTTTAATTGCTTTGCGTCCCCGCTCTGTCACCCCCAATCTATTCTCAAATGAACAGCTGGGTTGCGACTTTGCAGTAGTCTAGTGTATGCGACATGTACGTTGGAGGCATGTACAGCACATCTGCTGAAGAGGCTGCAATACTGGGAGATTGGGAGTGTTGGGATTGGGAGTGTCGGGTGCCTGCTCATTTCTATTTCTGCAATGTGTTGTGAAGACATTTCGCTGGGCGCCTTGGCAACCGAATGTAGGGAGGGGGCTACAAAAAGAGCAGTGTGTTCGAAATGGGCTTGATGTCTTACTGTGGCAGATATGCCCATGGATTAATGTTTGTTTTACACGTGTGTAGATTTGAATCTAGAACATGCGTGCGTACGTACGTGCGTGCGTTTGTACGTGCGTGTGTGCGTGCGTGTGTGCGTGCATGTGTATCAGGAGTGTATGTATGTGTGTTTGTAGTGCGTGTGAATGTGCATGTGTGCGTACATTGGTGTCACTGTGTGCGTGTGCGTGTGCGTGTGCGTGTGCGTGTGCGTGTGCGTGTGCGTGTGCGTGTGCGTGTGCGTGCGTGCGTGCGTGCGTGTGCGCGTGCGTGTGCGTGCGTGCGTGCGTGCGTGCGTGCGTACATGTGCGTGTGTGCGCGCGCGCGTGTCTGTGTGCGTGTGTGTGTGTGTACGTGCGTGCGTGCGTGTGTGTGTGCGTGCATGCGTGTGTGTGTGTGTGTGTGTGTGTGTGTGTGTGTG